AGGCAGCTATCATCGAGAGCCTGAGGCAGCAAACCCAGGGAAGGGTGGACAGGCCAGAGAGCAGCAGGCAGGGAGAGCAGAGGCAGCCGGGACAGGGATTGCCAGGACAGCCATCTGCAGCAGAGCCTCGCTAGGAGCCACCTATGGGGAGAGCTATCCTGGATCCAGAGGAGGCGAGAGCCCAGAGACAGGCAGAGAGAGAGGCGTTCGAGTTTAGAGCCCCTACTGAGCTCGCGACGCTGCCAGTGGCGGCGGCAGGCCCAGTCGTACCTTTGGCTGTAGAGGAGGGGCTGCCACCATCTAGCAGTGAGTCGGCTCAGGGCTCGGCAGAGGGATCCATGGGCGTGCTCCTTGAGGCGGTGCATACTATGCAGGAGGAGGKGAGKTTGTTTTCACCTGAGCAGAGGATAGAGGAGCCTCTTGAGAGAGAGATAGAGATTGAGGCGGAGAGTGCCATCGAGAGCAGGCTCCAGAGGATGGGCACGCCTGAGTATGGGCCAGAGGGGATTGAGGAGCAGCCTATGGCAGTGCCAGGAGAGACACTCGAGAAGAAACCTCAGAGGTTGGACACACCTGAGTACGTCCCGGTAACAGGGGATTTGAGGAGCAGACTGGGGTTTTGGGCTACAGGATCTGGGTATGGGGGACCGGTTCCTGGGACAGAGCAGCAGGAGGTCTTTAGTACCGCAGCTCCTCAAGCAGAGCAGCAGGGGGTTGTCAGTACCTTGGCAGGATCTCCTTCGTCACCACCTCCTCAGCCCAGGAAGAAGAAGTTCAAGAGGAAGATTGATCAGCTATGCTTCTACTACAAAAGGGGCGTGCATCTGGCTCTGGACTGTCTCGAGTTCCTTGAGGATAAGGCAGTAGGGAAGGTCTCAGAGGTAGGGGGTAAGATGTATGATAGACAGGGCAGGATAGTAAAGAAGTCTGCAGATGGACTTAGGGCTCAGTTATATAGGCAAAACCAAGAGGAGTTGAGGAGGTAGGGTCCGGTTGTCTATGTAAGTGGGCGGGTGTCTTGTGAGGCATCAACTTAGGTTCTGTGTGATACCCTCTTAAGACATAGAAGACTTTTTTTATGATTGCTACTAGTCTAGATCTGAACTCTAGTATTCCTACTGAGCTGGGATCTTGAGGATCAGGGTAATCTAGATGAGGCATGTACATATTCAGGTGGCCTACGCCCTGGCTTTTGAGAGACAGATCTGACATTTATTCTAGGGGTTGTTGTCAATATGGGTTTGGGGTAGCTTGAGTTGAGTGAGCTATGATTTGGAGACACTTTCTGTGTGAGACATTTTATTCCCTGAGTGTATATTATGATGAGGTTTTATTTCAAGGACCATTCTTATATGTGACGATCACTTGCCCTCTCACATGTGTGGTTGTACTCTGATGAATGATGAGTTTGTGTGGACAATGTGTGAAAAACATCTTATGTGGCATGGGTTCAGTGAATATGATTGTAAGCAAAACTGTCTACTCCTCGGTATACTTGTGCGACCTGCCCACGGGCAGCTGACAAGGCAGAGTATAAGGGGAGAAAGTGCAGTCCGCTGTGAAAGGTTGTGAAGATTTTGAAAATTTATGAGTCCAGGAGGCCCAAAATGCTTACCATGTGGATTGTTGGTTGCTTAAGTTGTGATGAGGACCCATAAGATGGTCTCTCAGTGATTTTGTTTATGATAAGCCCCCTTGGATTTTGGAAAAAGGGATGTTTTGTGATGTTGTGTGTTATGATGAGACCACCTCAAAATTTTGAGAAGGGGAAGTTTGGTTTCATGGCGAGACCCCTCGTGATTTTTGGAAGAGGGGGGGTTTGTTTCATGATGAGAGCCCCTTGGATTTTTGGAAAAGGGGATGTTTTTGTTGTTGGAAGACTTACCTTCAAAGGTGAGTAAACTGAATTATGGCATGGTAAGTTGTCTGATGAGTGATAAAGTCTGACGAAGAGGGCCACTTTTGTTTGGAATGATTGAGAAAGTCCAACTAAGTGCAAGGCAAGAGATGTCTCAGAGTAAGTGGTTGCTGGCTCTGATCAAGTCAGGGGTCACGGCCTGGTGGACCTAGCGGTGATTTTGTTTGTGAGCGTGCGAAGGATGCCATGCCTATTGTGGAAGGGCTGGTAAATGCCTACAGACCCCTGCGTGATCGCGCGGTGGGCCAGTGTTTTTGTTTTGCGACGCCCCGTCTAACCACTAGTGTTAACTCTGAGACATATTGAAGAAAGGCCAAGCTAACGGAAAAGAAGTTAGTACCTCTAGGGCGTAACCCCATTGGATGGCTGCTAGCCG